TTCTGTCTACTCGGGGAAAATATCTTACGACTTAGGTTGGGACGCGACACAGGCGCCGTCTAAAAATCGGTGGTAGCGTCTGTGAACTATTATCTTTGTATGGTTATGTTGTGAAGCCAAAAACGGAGAAAATATATATAGGTTTAGGTATTATGTATCCAACAATTATTATGTGTGATTTATACTACTTAGTTTATTAATAAAAATATCATAGTAACGCATTTTGTTTCACTCAACAAACCAAATGTCCTGAAATTAGTTAATAAATGATAGTCACTCTTCGGCAAGTTTCTCAGATTTTGATAATCTAGTCAAACAGAAGGCTTAAAGGTATACGACTAAAACAAAACGAATGTAACTTTCATTTCATAGCTGTATCAGGTTTTACTGTACAAATTAGCATAAGATTTTAGGGAATATTACCGCTTTTAGGTGGCCGGGCTGAAATATAATTTCAAGTGATTATTCTTTCTAAATATGTATTATAATTTAAAATGAAAGCGTTACATGTATTCTATATCTCTATATCTCATTATGTACTGGTATTATTTTTTGGTAGGTGTTGCAGTTTTACTGTTTTATAGTAACGAAATAATTTCAGCCCGGCCACCTGCAACCGCTAATATTTCGTATGCTATTGCATTTTAGGATTCGATTTTGTGTTACATATGCATAAATTATAGGGTACATTTCATCTGTAGCACAATATTGCCAGTATTTTTTGTAGATTAGTGGGAAACAAGGTGGCCGGGCTGAAAACGTCAGGCTGGCCCGGCCACTAAGAAGTGCACGTAATTTCTTTTAAAAAGAGTTACATTGAAAATGAAGGTGTTACATATATTAGTATACCCGGGTACATTGGATTGATAACAATCTCATTATTAAATTCCATGGGGCCGGGCCAGCCTGACGTACATTAATATCACGCCTTTTATCCCGAAGGGGTAGGCAGAGGTGCACATTACGACACTTAATGCCACTGTACAATGTAACACCCACTTTTCACTATTTATGTTAAGAGTCCCATGTAATAGGGGGTGAGCCTATTGCCTATTATTAAATACTATTCGTTATTAATTTGTTTATTTCAATCTCTTGTGACATAAACGTCCACTTGTCATCTTTTATTTTACTGTCTCTACCGATAAAGAAACAATGCAGGTGAAAGCTCCATCTATCATCCTTCTAAATAAACTTCTACTTTACCGACAGAGACGTGCAGCAAAATAAATAAAGAAACCTTATTTCTTTATATGTGTATATTTCATTGTCCAGGTGATAATAGTAGCGGGCGCGACCGGGTGCGGTAAGACGACCCAGCTGCCGCAGCTGGTGCTGGACCAGTGCCAGGAACAGAAGCTGCCCGCGAGGATCTACTGCACGCAGCCACGACGCATCTCCGCTGTTTCAGTAGCTGAGAGGGTGCGTACTTCAATTATTTATACTTAAAACTAGTTACTTCCGCGCGGTTTCACCCGCTCTGCTCAGCTCCTATTGGTCGTAGCGTGATGTTTTATAGCCTATAGCCATCCTCGATAAATGGGCTATCCAACACAAAAAGGATTATTCAAATCAGACTTGTAGTTACGGAGATTAGCGCGTTCAAACAAACAAACAAACAAAAAACGAACTCTTCCGCTTTACATAATAGTATAAGATAAACTATGTCTCATTTGAAAGAAAGAAAGAAAGAAAAATCGTTTATTTGCACACCGTCACAAGGTACAATAACACAAAAAAAAAATATAAAACAATATAGCAAAGACGGCGCAAAAAGGCCAGAGCTCAGCTTAAATGCCGTGACACGAGTGTGCTCGAGTCGCGGCGCTGATTTTCAGCACTTGCCCGTGACTTATAATATTATACATATAATAATAATAATAGAACATTTGTGTGTCTGTGTTGAGTATTTATAGGGTTTAATTTCTTTTTTGGATGGGGCAAACGCGCTTAGGATCTTCTAATGGTAAGCAATCAGTGCCGTCAATGAGCACCCGCAATTCCAGAAGTGTTAAACGTGTGTTGCTTACTGTTTGGGGGAAATCTCCACTTCTGAGAATTGTGCATTTTTTTTTTTCAAAAGACCCGTTTATGTATAAATTAAGTAGATTTAGATATGGATAATTTCCCCAGTCAGAGGTCTTAGTACGAGTTTAGATGTAATCGTAACGAGTACGCGTTCGGCGCTCTCATTGGTTGGTTCATTCGCGCCGGCCAATCAGATTGCCGAACGCGTACTCGTACTAAGGCCTCTCGCTCAGATCCAGGTTTTAATTTAAAAAAGAAAATTCTGATTTATTCTTTAAGATATTTCAGAAACATCAGTGTTTATCCAGTCTTTTTAATAACTGTAACTGATTTCATTGGCAGGTGGCATACGAGCGCATGGAGAAGATAGGCCAGTCCATCGGGTACCAGATCCGCCTGGAGTCCCGCGTCAGTCCGCGCACCGTGCTCACGTACTGCACCAATGGAGTACTGCTCAGGACGCTCATGGCCGGGGACGCGTCGCTCACAGGTCTGTACAGTAATAACTTGACTTTATTTCAGTTATTTTATTTTGATACATGTTTATTAGGTGTTGAAGTAGTGTTAACAAGAGATAAGTGTTGAGTTTGGTCCCTGGATTTGTTAGAAATACTTCGAAAGTTCTCAGTAATCCTTATTTTATAATGCTTAGTTCAAAATTTTAAGCACAATACAGGCATTTCTGACTAGCTCTGGAGGCTTCAATGTTCAATATCTAGCAGAAAACACTATAGTGCTTATAATATGGTATTTCTATTCGGCACTCTATACTCGGAATTTTAATTCGATTCCAGATTTGACAATTCCAGTGTTGCAATGTTATGACAAGTACTAAATAGTGACGTTGCGAAATTATTCGATATAGAAATGCAATATTTCTGGATCGATACTTCTCGTTAACAATTTTACTCTCGTAAACTAAGTATATCAGGAAATTAAATATTTCTGAACCGATAATTTAGCTTTGACGATTAATTACGAACTGAGACTTTCCTTTTATAATTGTGTGAAATAAATAAAAAAATGTAATCATGAAGGAACATGACAAATAAAACAGATAGATGTATTATGATAATAAGTTATTTGTTATTTTATAAATTGTCGCCATCATCGCTATCGCTATCCTGTCACTTTCTGTAACATTTATTATAAACACACACACACTGATTGTTTATCGATTTTTGTGTTTATCACTACACTATTATATGTTGTATCATTATTTCACAAAATGACAGTAGCTATTGTCAAATCTGGAATCTAATTAAAATTCTGACTATAGTATGGACCGGTCTAACTAGATTACCATATTTATTTTATTTATTTTATTTGCAGGAGTGACGCATATATTCGTGGACGAGGTGCACGAGCGTGATAAATTCAGTGACTTCTTACTGATTGCACTCCGGGACGCTCTGCCGCGCTGCAAGGACCTCAAACTCATACTCATGTCTGCCACCATGGACACGCAGATATTCTCACGGTAATACTTATACTGTCTTCTATATCATATTTACTTAATGGTAAGCAATCTGCGCCCGCCAGAGTCGCCTACAGAGTAGTTACAAGTGCGTTGCTGGCCTATTCCCATAGCGTAACAGAACGCTTTGGTAGTTTCACACTGGTTTACTGTTCCGAACCGACCATTTGTACCGATTACCGAAGCATGCATTATGTTTCTTCGTGTGGGTGAGGTTACCAGAGGCTCAATTACACCTCCCCTTCCCTAATCTCCCCAATCCCTGAATCCCCAACAATCCTCAAATTCCTAATCCCCAAATGGCCGGTAACGCACTTGTAACGCCTCTGGTGTTCCAGGTGTCCATGGGCGGCGCCCATTGCTTACCATCAGGTGATCCGTCTGCTCGTTTACCGGCTTATGTCATAAAGAAAATAAATTAATTCTCCCACATGCAGTTAAGGTACCGGTTTGTTTGATTACCTCGTTCTAGTAGTCTAGGGGTGCAATTAATAATGTGTTCAAAAAATCTGTCGCGATAAAATATAAAAATGCCATTACGTTTTTCGACTACGTTATACTACTGCTACGCTTTTACTTTTGTCTAATAATACAGTAGTTTAGCTAAACCATATCATTCTATTCCGGGTCATTCCACCATTTAAAATAAGCTCTCAGGTCTCAACCACTTCTTAAACCTTCTTAACTCGTCGAATACCGTCATTATAGACATAATCAAAAAACAATAGGTTGCGGTCACAGGTGACCGCTTGGTGTTTGACAGTTTAAACAATTTTTTTTTGTGTGTGTGCAATAAAGTATAGAATAAATAAATAAAAATATGTAAACCAGCCTTAAAAGAACTTTTAATTTCCAGGTATTTCAACAACTGCCCAGTGATTACAATCCCGGGTCGTCTACACGAGGTACAGAGGTTCTATCTGGAAGATATCCTCAAGATCTCACAGTACAAGACTCCTAAAATGATACAAGTTGAGAAGGAACTGAAAGCGAAGCTGAAAAGTGGAAATAGTTATTGGTCCCACCTTGAGGGTATGTATTCTTCTACTCTTACATAATATCAAAAAGAATCCCCTTTGCGTCTGTCTGTACGAACTTATTAAACACAATATCTTTGAATTTGTGAGATTTTTGTATGGTTTTCAACTACTCTACTGGTCGGAAAACAAGTTTTTATCATAGGACTAGTAATCTATTCTATGCTATGGTAATAGGCTTTTAGGGATCGTGATTAGGAGGATCCCTAATTGAGCACTGCCTCTTCTGGTCGTGGGGTGCAGGGGGTTGAGAGAAACAACGGTGTTCAGATATTAGCTATATTCACGTAAACCCCCAGATAGAACCGTTCACTCGGACCAGTGCGCAGTAACTGTCCGTGCCTCGCATACTTCACGCTCACCCAAGTTTTTGCTTGCCTTGCACTCTGCCATACATACTTACGTGTGTCCCTACAGGCTCATCCATAATGCATTGACTTATATACATAGGTAACTGGCGAAAAAAAGGGGAGGGGGGCGGGGTTTCTTCGTTAGGCTCACCCCCCTATTACATGGGACTCATAACATAAATAGTGATAAGTGGGTGTTACATTGTACAGTGGCATTAAGTGCTGTAATGTGCACTTGCGCCACCCCTTCGGGGATAATAGGCGTGATGTTATGTTGAAGTATATCTAAAATAGAAGTATCTTTTTCTTAAAACAGGTCAAAAACAAGACGACGCAGGCAGCAGTAAAGATATAAAGGAAGATAAAGACAACATGATGGAGCCTTCTTTACAGGCTGACATGGACGAGTTCCTCGACGAATGCTTCAATGAAGGCACGCTGGTAGGTCTTATTGTTAACTGTTTAAGGTTGAAAGTCACTTGATTACATAAACGTCGCGTTCATACGTTTTTGTTCTATATTCCTTAGATGAGTGACGATGTGCCTTTAGGCTTAATTTATTCTGTCTCCTACATAAATTCACCGAGCGAAGTGGAAATTATCGTTATTTTTGTTCTCCTCTTATAATATCTTCTGATTCGCTTCGTTGTGGGAATCAGGACAGTTATTCATGTCCCTGAGACGCGTCGGACTTCAGTGTTCCGGTGTTTTCATGGTTGTATCTACTGTAGATCCTGGCTTACAGAAGTTGGTGGTCCCAATATAGAAAATCCTTAGATGAGATCTTATTTCCTTAAATGGTTGACCTCCCCCGCAGGACTCGTTCACGCAAATCCTGTACATGTATATCTCGGAGGGCGTGCCGGTGTCGTGCGGCCAGTCGCGGTCGCGGCGGACTGGCCTCATGGCGGCCGCCGCGCGGGGACTCACAGAGACCATCGCGCAGATGTTGCAGATTGGTCAGTGGATTTACATATATTTATATCGTACAGTATAACTTGGTTTTCGGCTAGTGAGATGACAATGATAAGTTCCGAATTATTAAACGTTATGAATGGAATTCGAACTTATAACAGCAATAAATATCATATAAATATAGTAGAATTATCAAGTTGAGTTGTCAAGCTTAAACGGCAGTGTGTGTTCTAAAGGTTATTGTGGCTAGACCAAAATCTCTGGAACTAAGTGTTTGACAAGAAATCACTATTGATTTCTTGCTAAATTGCTTGCAAATTGCTATCAATTAAATCAACAATTTACTTTTTTTTTCAAATTGAAATTACTTTACTTATAGACCACAGGTTACAAAAGATGTTACAAGCTTTAGATTGACCAGCTATGTCTTGCCACCAACGGCGTACAAATATATTAAATTAATTTACCATTTATACAAAGATTTCAATAGTCAGATTTGTCATTAAATTAAATCAAAATACAGGGTCATGCACTGTCAATATTATTATATTACATTTCATCATAATTAGGTACTTTATTACAATCACTATCATATGTCAATAAATTCAATAAATAATGTTCTCATTATCATTACAATCCAACCATCTATTGTTATTATTATTACCTTACATTTGTCTCAGTAAATACACACAGCATAATTCACCTCAAATCCTATCTTCCAAGTATTCAGTTACCAAGTAGTACTTCAGTTACTTCAGCCGTTATTATATGCTGGGCGGTATAATATTTATTATTATCAAATAATTTCCCTTCTCACAGGCGCCGACCCCACTGCAAAGGACAAAGACGGCAAAACAGCATACGATTACGCTGTAGAAAACAACCACACAGATTGTGCCAAGTTATTATCCACATTTAACTTAACCGAGGAACCGAAAGGCAACGCAGACGATGATAGTGCAGCGGACAACTTCCTTCTAGATGTCTACCATCATACCATGTCAGAAGAATTAATAGACCATGATCTCATGCTAGCTTTAATCAAATATATCCATGTAAATATGCCAAAAGGCAGTATCTTGGTCTTTTTACCCGGCTACGATGATATAGTAACTCTAAGAGATATGATCCAGTCTTGTTCAGACATGAACAGTCATAAGTACCAGATTTTTACTCTGCATAGTAACATGCAGACATTGGATCAGAAGAAAGTTTTCAATCCGTTACCTAATGCGAGGAAGATTATAATTTCAACTAATATCGCTGAGACCTCGATTACGATTGATGATGTTGTGTATGTGGTGGATTCTTGTAAGGTAAGAATTGCTTATTTAAGTATTTACGTTTTTGTTTCTTGAAGGGTTATGTAATGGTAGGTGGCCTATTGTTATACACTTTTATATGCATAATTTTAAGACATGCTACAGTGGGGCACTGTAGCTATACACGCGCTATTCTCCTTATACTCTGACTTCTTACTGAGCAGCAAAATCTTATTATTACTTTTCCCGACCTGGGTATCGAATTTGAGAACCTTTGCTCAACAGGACACTTGTAGTCACTCGACTATGTCCCTGAACAACTCGTTGGTCGAGTCTTTTTTAAAAGTCTTCAATAAAAGTAGATTCTGTTTGACATATCGCACCTACGGTGCAATATCGTCACTTATGCAATTTTTGTCAAACCTTAACTGATGAAAGAGTACTCCAAATTCACCTCTTTACTTGGTGCGTTATTTATTGTCATTTGTGTAGTAAGCAAACTGACATTGTGAGGGCATTACTGTCGTTACGGTTTTGGCGCTAATCTGGACGGCACTAGGAAAAACAACGTTTCATTGTTCAGTTGCGCGCGGGCCCCCGCAATACATAAGTGACGGTATAGCACCGGGGGTACGATATATGTATGCATGTTTGTGCGCAATTATCTCGCGATTGGCTGAACCGATTTTGATGCCGTTTTCAGAAAAGTGTTTATTACACTTGTCTTAGGAGAAGGTTTTAGAATATTAATAAACCGATCTCAACAAAAGAGGGTGCTGGAGTCGGTTTTTTTAACGAAGTTTATAAACAAATGATTAGTGTAATTGAAACAAATGATTCGATTTTACTTCAAATGATTCGATTCTCTTCTTTTATAGGTAAAAGAGAAGTACTACGAGTCAGGTGGCGGAGTATGTTCCCTACAATGTGTGTGGACGTCTCGCGCCGGGTGTCAGCAGAGAGCTGGCCGGGCTGGACGGACCGCGCCAGGGAAGTGCTACCATCTATGCTCACGACGACGATTCTCCACCCTGCCACTAAACTCCGTCCCTGAAATACTCCGCGTGCCTCTACAAGAACTTTGTCTGCATACCAAGCTCTTAGCGACTGGCAACACTCCCATAGCAGACTTCCTATCCAAAGCCCTAGAACCACCTTCCTTCTTAGCCGTCAGAAACGCCGTCTCCTTACTCAAGACCATCGGTGCTTTAACTCCAATGGAAGACCTTACTGAAATTGGACAACATCTTCTAGACCTTACCGTGGAACCGAAACTAGGCAAGATGTTGTTGTACGCGTGCGTAATGAAGTGCCTCGATCCTATTCTAACGATAGTATGTAGTTTGGCCAATAAGGAACCCTTCCAGATATCAATGAACCCTGAAAATAGGAAGAAGGGAAGTTTGGCTCGAAAGGAGTTCGCAGCGGACAGTTATTCCGACCACATGGCCTTGTTGAGGGCGTTCCAAGCTTGGCAGACTGCCAGGGCTAACGGGACAGAACGTGCATTCTGTGCCAAGAACTTAATCTGTGGTGCTACTATGGAGATGATCGTAGGATACCGGTCACAGTTACTGGCTCAGTTAAGAGCGCTATGTTTAGTGAAAGCGCGAGGCTCAGGAGACATAAAGGACGTCAATCTGAACTCCGAGAAATGGCACGTTGTGAAGGCTGTGTTAGTTAGTGGGTTATATCCCTCAATAGCGCGCGTGGATAGAGACTCCTCTACTTTGAGAACGTCGAAGGAAGTGAAGGTAGCCTTCCATCCCAGCTCTACATTACACCAGGGCGGGGGCATCACTGGGTCACAGAAGTCTGTACACAACCTGCCCACTGACTGGGTGGTGTTTGAAGAGATATCCAGAGCTGGCAGGTTCTGTTTCATTCGCTGTAATACTTTAGTGACGCCATTGACGGTAGCCTTGTTCGGTGGACCGTTGCGGTTGCCAAACTCTGCCTTGACGCAGCGAGCCAACCCGCCCGGACTGTCCAGTGACTCCGACAGTGAGGCGGATGAGAACAACGCGTCCCCTGATGCCGCTGTCATAACTATAGACGACTGGATGGCCTTCACTACTGATGCTGCAGACGCTCTCAACGTATTCTACCTCCGGCAGAAACTCTGTGCACTAGTAATACGTCGCATGTCTAACCCAGCTAAACCTATGACGCCTCTAGACGAGCAGATACTAAGTACTGTAGTACATATAATGGGCGCTGAGGAGAAGAACGTAGGTCTGAATCAGCCGAGCGGTATCGGACAGAGACCGAAACCTTTGACGGTAGACTCTCCGAACTGGCGGTCGAGGCTGGAGAATGACGAGCAGTATCGTCACGAAAATAAGAATTATTACCCTCAGTATAATCAGAATGAGGGCGGATTTCCAGGAGGGAACTTTTATAACAATGCTTATGGGGGGTATAGGAATGGTCAGGGTAGGCCTGGGGGATGGAGGAACGATGTTCCTCAGCCGTTTTCTCCTCAGTCGTACAGCGGTCCCAAGAGTCCGATGTCCCCCAACGGCAAGACGTTGCTGGCCAACATAGAGAAGTACGGCGAGGGCGCGGAGGGGGGCGCGGGGGGGGCGGGGGGCGCGGGGGGCGCGCGCTACTTCGTGTGTCGCGCGGACGACGCGCACGGCGTGGAGCTGGCGCAGGCCGCCGGCACATACAGCTTCGCGCAGAACACGGCCAAGAAACTGCACAAAATTAAACAGGTCAGTCCCATGTAGTTCACTGCGTTAGTTTCTCTATTTCAAAGTTAAGTTGTTCCTTCAGCACTCAGTCCACTTATGAATTTATAACTCAGTCCTTAAAAAAGTGCCATACAAGTCTAATTACTAGAAATCTAAGAACACTGCTTATTAAACTAAATAAGATACCTATAATTTTCTATTTCCGAGTTCCGGTTATTACATAAAATCCTGTTTATTTTAGGTTTTTTAAACACAATTTAAGAAAACATTTTTCAAAACATATTTTTTATGGTGCAGGAGGGTAGTCGCGTGATAATATTCTTCGCATGCGCGAGTGCGTTCAAGTTCATGGGGTGCGCCGCCCTACAGGAGGGCGGAGCGCTAGAGTGGATCACTACCGGACATGTGCCTTTCCATACTATACGGTGAGTTTTAACTTCTTTATCTTACTGTTATTAAGTTCTAAAATCTGTTTGTACTATTTTACAATGTTTAAATTCTCTTTTGAGATCAATGTATGGTTATAAACAGTAAATAATTTGCAGTAAACTTATAAATTATCGATTTTCCTTGCCAGTTAAAACTAAACTCTAAACTCTATAAGTGACATTAGATTTTTAACTAGAAACAAATATTCTTTACGTTTTCAGTCAGTAAAAGATATAAATGAATAACAATATTATTACGTAGAGGTTTTTGCTTGCTATTTGAACCGTTGACTCTTCTCTGCGTCACCCAAAGATTCGCCTAGTAGAGCATGCCTATGGCATCAACCTTTGTACAAGACATTTGTTTTATATTTTTGGACCGACGTTTGGCCACTATCTCGCCTGGTGATAAGCGATGTTGCGGTCTACGATGGAGCACGTCGTCCCATAAGCAACCTATTCACTCGGGCCTTGAAGACTCCCAGATTATACCCTTCAGGAAATACAGACTCTGGCAAAAAATTCCACTCTTTAACAGTACGCACAAGAAAGCTTGATGCGAAGCGCGTCGTGTGTGTGGGTGGAAAATCTACCATGCATCGGTGACGCTTCGCCGATTGTCTTGTAGTGCGATGATGGAAAGGACTAGGGGGAATCAAGTTGTGCAATTCCCCCGCACACTCACCGAAATGTATCCGGTAGAAAACCGATAGGCTTGCAACCTTACGCCTGTGTTCGACGCTTTGAAGCCGGGCCTTCACAAGCGCATCATCGTTGATGAGCCTCTTGGCACACCTCTCGATGTGATCTAACGCGTCCAGCTGATATTTAGCCGAGCAGTCCCATTGATGAGAACAGTACTGAAGTACCATCTCACTGTCCATAGGATACCCAACTTCCTACCAGCCAGTTGCGCTTTTGACTCTTATATATGAGCCAAAGTTGAGTGTGGGCGTCAGAGTTACGCCAAGAAGCTCAAGATTATCAGCTATCGGAACGGATACATTCCGGAAAGTAGGAGTCGAAGTTTCTCTCGTACGGCGTCACCGAGCATCGTGGCGGAACACGACTGGACCGATGGCGATACGCTTTTGCTCGGTGTGTGGTTATGAAGCCGGCGGCCGAAGCCTGCCACCAAAGTGTCACCTGATTAGCACCATCCAGAGGCCACGTGTGGGGATTTAGATTTATGGGTGCTCTCCTACGGACGGAGGTGACTCAGCCTCCAAAAGTACGTACGGACATACAATTTTAATAAACATTTCGTTCCTCAGCCACATCGGCAACTCCCTGGCGGGCGGGGCCCGCGTGTGTACGATGCGCGACGGGGCCGAGATCTGCGCGGGCGCGGGCCGCGCGCTGCTGGGCGCGCACCAGCGGCGCCGCCACCACCACCCGCGCGCCATACAGAAACACTCCAACGACTCCTGACCGCCCCGACACACGCTGCGCAACTAACTACTTCCTAGGTAAGGGTGCACCACACCTATCGATCAATCCCATCGACATTGGTCTTTATCGTTTGGTATGATAGTTTTAATTGATCGATTGTCTCCGATTGACTATCCAAGCGATCGGTTGCAGATCGATGTCGTCGGTCGACATTGATCGGACGGACAGTGGTTGATAATGGGGAGCTCAGGCAGCTTGAGTGATGTTGAATTTTCCATTCTACCATCGATCAATCGTCTGGTAGATAATATAATATATATTTATATTTTATTTATCGACGTCAACTAATTCATTCTATGACTTCTTATCAATCGATAGCATCGATCGACGATCGATCAATTGGTGTGGTAACACTCTAAGTTATCTAACTTATGTACCTACCTTAACTTACGTACCTACTCGATCATATGAACGAATTTTTATATTATAACTCATTTGTGACATGAAATTAGTTGTGTTTTAAAGTTTACTCACGTTACTGGTTGACTGGTACATTGATTATGTTTTACGAGGTAACTCGACTAGTTTCGAGACTATGATTATAAGCACCTTACGCGACTTGAAATTGGTCGCGTCACCTCGTTAAATAGCTATGTGATTAGATCGTAAAATGTAATTAATTTGATACAAGCGTCGTATGAATTTATTTGTAATTGATTCATGTATGAAATTTTCTTCAGCTTGAAAATATGGCAGTAAGATAAAATACAGCTGAGGGTTTAGTATAAATTCGTTTTACTTTTAATGAGATCGAAACGAGAGCGCGTTCGTTGCTCTGATTGGCCGGCACCAATGAACCAACTAATCAGAAAAACGAAAAACAAATTCGTACCGAGCCGTCTGAACTGTACTTGCTTACAATACTAACAGTTTTTGAAGTAAAGTCGAGACTAGATAAAAATAATTATTAAGATGGAAGTTTTTGTCTCCTTTCGATTATACAAATGTCAGTTGCCCTAATACTGTAACGAACTGTAACTTTCGTGAGACGTACTAAATAAATTATTATGTTTTCGGCTTACTCACGTAATAATTTGACGAGGAACTCGACTAGTTTCAAGCCATGCTAGAAGCGCATTGTACACACTCGGGCCCAGTAGCAGCGCGACAGTCGCCGCGTCGCGGGTCGCGGAATGCTGCGTATGAATATGAGCCTCTAGCATGGCTTGAAACTAGTCGAGTTCCTCGTCAAATTATTACGTGAGTAAGCCGAAAACATAATAATTTACTGTAACGAACTACTCAATTTTAAGTCGCGTTTAAGTATGGTTCTCTCGGTTGCAAAAGAAGAGAAAAAAAAGTATAGTTCTGTCGCTAAATTTTTTTTGTAAATGACAGAGATAGCGCGATATTTTAAGTTCGACTTAAAATTGAGTAAGCTTTCAGTATTCGAGTGAGTGCCACTTACCATGTCAGTGCTAACTTTTTATTGTTTTTTTTTTAATTATCACAAGTGTTATGAAATCACTGAAAACTTAATTTTAACCTATTAAGGTTATTTTTGCAATTTTAGTTCACAAATGTTAAATTGATTTTACTCTCAATTTTATTGTACTTATTTATAAGGAATGCTCTTTTTAGCCACAGTTAGGATTGTTATTTATTTCATACCCTCTCACGCATTTAAGATTCACGACATAAGTAATAAACATAGACTTAATAGCAATAGGCATAGAGTGCATTTTATATTAACCAATAAGAGCTATACTCACCGACTTAGTGCATATCATATGCTAAACATTGCTCCCATGTAGGAGCAAGACCAATATTGAATCGATATAGGTAACGCGAGAAGAAAACTGTACCCTAAGTACATTAGCATAAAGCTTTATTTAATTTATATTGCCCCAAGCCGTTTACCTATTAACTCGTCGAGTACCGGTTTTGTAGACACAATTATAGAACAATAGGTTGCGGTCACCGGTGACCGCTTGGTGTTTGACAGTTTAATAGAATTAGTTCTAGAAAAATAATCTCATTGTAGGTATCTTCATCAATATACGACTACCTTACGACATGAATAGACAGATATATTAGAGTATGTGTAAAAAATAATAATAAATTCATAAAATTAGACCCAAAGATTTTGAACTCTATTGCAACGGTGATATAAGTGTTTGAATCGCGATTCGCACAAGTATGAAATGTAGAAATTCTTGTCTTATATGACTTAGATTTTAGAAAAGTTGAAAGTATCAAGACCTAACAGTATAATATTAGTCCCTGTAATGATTTTGATACGATTGCACTTAGCTTTTATGCGAGACATGCGGTCAAATAACGATCAGAGGCTTTACCAGTTTGATTTACGTTTTAAGTATTCGAAACGAGTACGCGTTCGGCACTCTGATTGGCCGGCGCCAATGAAGCAACCAATCAGAGCGCTGAACGCGTACTCGTTACGATTAATTTAAAAGTAAAATAATTCGTACTAGGGCCTCTGTAAACGATCTCTAGTATAAAATAATAGAGAAATTTTTAACCAGTTTCAACCCCAAATAAACATTTTATTTATTTATTAAAAATATTTAGATTCTCTAGTAGTAAGCTGTACGGCCATTTTAATAACTAAAATATGTTTTATGATGGGCCATTGTGGTCGGTTTTTACAGTCAGAATGCTTATATCCCAGTGAAACTATGACTGCTTCGTTGGCCGAGTGGTCGCAAGTGCGACTGCCGGGCAAGGGGTCTGTAGTTCGATTCCTGGGTCGGGCATAGTATTACTGGGATTTTTAAAATAAAGTTTTTTTTTAAACCACGTAGTCTGGATTTGTGCCCGGTACATGGCAATAAGCTCACCCCCTATTACACGGGACTCATAACATAAATAGTGAAAAGTGGGTGTTACATTGTATAGTGGCATTAAGTGTCATAATGTGCACCTCTGTCTATCCCTTCTAGGATAAAAGGCATGATGTGAGATCCTATAACGACCAATCTCCGTAGTTTTGTTTACTAGACAAAAGGGATAGAATCTAGAATATTGACATATTTTGTATGGAGCTTTGTCTCCAGTAGAGCTTTTGAGCCTTAGTAAAAATCTATCGAAGACTTAGGAAGAAACGTTACCGGCGTTAGCCCTCTCTGATTGGTTGGTTCATTAGAGCCGGCCAATCAGAACGCCGAACGTGGTACCGTTTCGGTTACAATACAAACTCGCACTAAGCCTGGATATTGTCGCGGAAAACCTAACGGGTTACCGGGGCTCCGGCTCGACGTGCAGGAGAAGGAACGGGGTGGTTTTTAGTCAGTAAGAGTCTGACACTCCCTCCCGCCTCACCCAGGCCGGAGCAGTCATTCGATGATTTTCCCCCCTTAAATAAAAAGCCTGGATATTGAACTTTAAAACTGCACATTGCACGGTTGACAACAGTGGCTGGCTGACTGGATGTAATGTGGGGCTTGTGAAGAAGTTCATTGTGTCACCAACACATCGTTATTTTATCGGGTCTATCTGTGTGATATGAGATATGACGACTACATATACTGCTCTGTAGCACCATGTCAAAGAAATACGCTATCGAGTAGTGTGACTGTTTAAATGTTAACTTAAAGAACGTGATAATATTTTAAAATGTACGTTCTTAACACGCATTAATGTATAAGAATCTTTACTTTTAATAGAGATGATGACAAGTTATGAAAATTAAAAATCTAATTAGTCCGTCAGTTAGATAGTGAGAAAATATTACACACGTTTTTTTTATATTGTCGTATAAAACGAATCAAAGTTTATGGGGAGCTAGCTACGTCACTTTTGAGTATAAAACTTACACAAAAGTGACGTCACGCGATATTTCAAATCAATATTATTATATCGTTGGAAGTATTCGTTTCTGTAAGAAAATAAAAATACGTGTCTAATGTTTTGAAATAATCTACCAGACGGACATTAAAATAAAAATTAGTCATCTACCTTATTATGTTATTGTTCCTGGCTACCCTTATGATATAAGGGTATGATGATGTAGTGTAACGATGATAGTGTTTTTTGTGCTTACTATAAATTTTAAGTTGTCAATGTTGTGAGAATTTGGTGTAGAAAAAAAATGTTTGAAAATTATAAAATCAATGTGTACTTATTATTAGGACCAATGTGTAGGCGATGTAAAGGGTCGGATAGATACGGAGCACAATATTTTAATAGAAATAAAGGAAATAAATAATTTTATTAACTTTTCTAAAGCGTATGTTGTTAAAAAGTTGATGGTATTTTCTAGTAAATGTGAGATGAGACCTTTTTAACCGACTTATGATAAATAGAGGTTATTTGTTTCGTCTATACTGTGGTCGCTGTTAGCAGATTTGAGTACAAATTCTTCAGCAATATACTCGTTAGCTTAGTCTAAGTAGAAATTGTATCATAATATTTATAGACAATATATTATAATTCTAATATTCTTTAGGTCTTCAATATAGGACCTAAGTGAACCTGGATCTAGGTTTTTTAATCTCAATCTGCTGATGGCGTACCTAAATGATAAATACGATCTTTAAGTAGGTATGACAGCTTTGTAAAACGGTTTGGAGTTCGATTTCTGGCTACCGGCTTTTTATTGGTGTTTTCATTTTGTCCATGATAAGTCTGGAGTCGGAAATCTTGCCTAAAATAATGGCAATATGTTTGATGTGTATCTGCCTACCTCTTCAGGGAATATCAGGAGTGATGTTATACTAATAATAATGTGAAGCTTATGTATTGCTGTCTCAGTCGTTAATTAATTGTTTAAAGCTTTTGTCTCACTCTGTTACAACACAATTTAATATTACTTTGTATACTTTTTTAACCTAATGAATTCATTGTTCCGTGTATGGGTGGGATTTCGTTATACTATTATTTTGTTGTAAATTCATCTACAGAAGTTCAGTTCAAACTTTGAAACAACTAGAAAAGCAATCGTTATTAAATCTTTCTGTAATATTCTTAGAGGAAGATTTGATATAGTGTATTTAACTAACTCGTGCAATAAGTCTAAAGTTTGATGCCATTATTGAGTTTTTCGATTTAGAAATACTCAGTAATGGTGCTGACTATAGCATAGCGTCCATGTTATTGTAATAAGATTGCCCCCTATACCAGTGGAACTTTTATAACATAACTGGCGATGTAATTGATGGAATTAATAATGTAATTGTTTTATAAGCGAAATACTTCTGCAATATTGTTATCTTTGGAAATGTATGTAACATATAAAGTACCACATACTTGCATACAGCTTGGCAAAAATGAGTTCAGTATCAATTGAGGTCGCTAGTATCGTACATGTGGCAACTAAGTACACTACGACTCAACTGGTTTTGATATTTGTTATTTTTATAGAGTTTAACAAGAGGAGGTACCATGTTCGAATATTGTTTTTTCATGGGATATGCTCCGAAGTATGTAGGTGATTGAGTCTAAGTCAATATTAGTTACATCTGTCACCGCTTAAAACTATTTTTTGCCAAGCTGTACTTTGCAATAAGATATTTTTTCGGTAATATGTTCAGTACTGAGATTCGATGAGGTTTTTAAATTCTATATTATCAAGGTTTCTCGTATGTGATACGGTTCTCATGTAATCTAGTCATTTGTTATCAAAATTGTCTCAGTACTTTGAATTATATTTGTGTTAATTTATATGTCTAGATGGAGGTTGTAATTAACACTGTGTGTATTTGTTAAATGTGGTGGGAATTTAAAAGATGTGTTAGGATCTTAGTGGAAGGTGCTCGATAGTTTCTGTCTACCTCCAAGGGACAGAGGCGTGAGTTTATACAGGTATGATGTACTGGTGTGCGTGACTATGAAGTACTACACACGCAATACATCATTTTTTTTACTTGTGTGCGTGTGTAGGTACTACCAGTGAATGAAATAAGGGTACTAGTTGATTCTATGCGCGGGATACGTAGGTAGTTGTACAATCTATTTAGACATATACATTAATTGTCTAAAACTTTATTACTTACTGCAGCTGTTTGATAGATAATTAATCTACTCAAATTTTCAACTTTATCACAAGATAATAAAGTTGAGAACTTATTAAAGATGGATTGGAGCAGGCCAGCCTGCTGGCTTTTGTACCTTATTCGTTATACAATAAGGTTTATTTTCCCATACTTAAAGGTGACAAGTAATTTAAACAGCTCATTTTGCAGCTACGTTGACATTAGAATATTTGCAGTTTATATCTTAGTGTTTAGACTGACTGTAGGGACTATGGAAATAAATGGAAATAGTTGTAAAAAAAATAGTGACATATAAAGGACTACGATGAAGAATGTTTAGGCGATAAATTCGAAGTATTTGTGTACGTTTTGAATAGATACTCAAGGTAGGACTTGATCCCATCATAACAGATTAACAGTGAGTTCGAGTTCCTAAAGTGACATTTGAATTTCAAGTATTCAACTTGAAATTCTATAAAGAATTAAACCGTTTTGTATATCTGACGGAACGATTCTTAGCCATATAATATACTTCACCGAGTTGACTAAAATATTAAAACATTTTACCATATGCTTAGCTTTTCTAAGTTTTCACAGTTTTCATCCACTTTTTACTGTATTAACAATAAAGGCACGTGATAAGAGTATAAGAACGATTTTTGCTTAAAAAAATAATGTGATACAGTTACTTTGTTCCTTGTTGTTGCGAGTGGCATGTTTACTCTATATTTGACTTAAGTGATATTTTAATTCTGTGTGTAGTGAGAAATTGTGAAAATTAAACGGTCTATTACATGTTAGCAGCGTTAGACATAATAAATATGGCGATTGGCCATCGGGGCCCCCAACGATATGCATCAAAGGACCGAATTAAAATTCGAAACGTTAACTTTTACTTCAACTCGGGTTTCCTTTTTTGCTACGTGGGCCGATTTGATACAATTTGATACAGCCCTGTATAAAAATAAGGGTTACGAATGTATGGATGCGAGTTTGGCGTGGTAAGATGCATTCTTTAACTAAATATTTTTGTGTGTTTGTACGTTTGGTTTTAAAGCTTAAGTTCTCCCAGTATTAATATGTAATAGTACAACAATGTGCGGATGATAATAACTTAACTTTAGGCATTGTTACCCTTCTTAATGTTAACAGTTTTGTTAATTTGAACCTTCGAAGCTCAGTTTTTACGTCCATTTTCTGCCAAAATATAGAGTAAGTTTTAAGTTATAACTCGAAAGTCTTATACGATTGTGTATGAAGGGAAAACGTTATCTCAATAATACACATACATTAGTAATGACTAATGAAACATCTGACCACGTCATACGAGTGATAGCGATAATTACATTGTTTGATTGTGTTTTACAATATTTTTTTATTTTAAGTACAAATATTTCACTGTTAAATATAACACTGATTTTACCTTAGACCAATGAATTCGCTTCGAACACTTTTCATTGCTTAGCTTTGCTGCAATGACAAGCAATCTATGTTTTATCTGTCGATAGAGCAGCTGTATCCAAATGCCATTTAGCGCTTGTCTACATGTCGAATAGAAAACCAATTATTATAATTTTTTTCGCTTTTTGGCCAACGAGTGTATTGTCGACAATACTGCCAGTGTCGAGTGGTGAACCAAATTGTATGGAACTAGCTGACCCGGCAAACTTCGTACCGCCTAAAGAGTTTTTTCTCACCTTTTAAAACTTCCCTAGACTTTCACGAACCTATCAAGACCAAAATTATCCAAATCATTTCAGCCGTTCTCGAGTTTTAGCGAGACTAACGAACAGAAATACATTTTTATTTATATAGATAGATATATAGATTAACGTATATTTTGACACTTGTCGGTGTCACCCCCATTCAATTTTGATTTCTACTCTCTCTGTAGACAAGCGCTAAAGTGGCGTTTGGCTAAATGCCCACGGATGTAGCTTGCTTTAAACGGGCCGTTTGCCACGGGGCCCCTGTATAATATTTTTTACTCATGGGGCCAGTATGCTTTCTGTTGGTAGCTACATCTCTGGGTCGACGTTTGATTCCTTATATGGGTTATTAATGTTTTTGACCCTAGTTTGTGAGTATTCATAATAAAATGTATGAATGAAATAACTTGGATGGACTTTATACCTAAGTTTGCATATGTTGAGTTGTGTACATACATATAGTTTGTGATAACTGTTTCATTTTACCTTTTCTTAAATTAAAAAATATTTTAAGTTGAATTTTGTCTTTTATTTAAACCCTTTAAAACTACATCAAACTTTATTGTCTGGAGTTGATAATGATAAGGTAAAGCTTTTATAGAAATAACAGTCGTGAAGCATAATTTACATAACA